AAGACAGAAGACAAATGTTTCTCAAGAAGAAAACAGACAAAAGTAGGTCAGTAAAACTCACCTGTTGGTGGCTGAGGTTTACGTCTGCGTTCTATCTGCCAGGAATGACACGTTTTCAGGAGGATGTCCCAGTTCTGACCATTAGGGCAAGTTTTCTTGGCCATGCCTGGAGCTTGGTAAGTAAAGACGTCTGCTGTGATGCTCTCAGGTGAACTTGTGCTCAAATCATAAAAAAGAATAAAAATAAAAAAAAAACAGAGGAGGGAGGAACTCCCTCCTCCCTCGTTGCAGGTTCAACAGATGTTTCAGTTCCTCCATTCAAAAGGAAACAGTGAGTCACTACGTGTCCCACAGGGACTCACTCAGAGACAGCACTGAGAATGTACAGTGATGGGAAATTCAACCCCCAACAATTTCTTCTGGTTTTGCGTTCTTGTGGCACCTAAATGATTCGAATCATCAAATACATTTTATTACGGTATATGACAAAAAAATGATCCAAGTACAAAATGCAGTTTTAAAATATTTTTACTTATTAAAGAAAAATAGATATCCAGCATAACTGGTCGTGCCATCCTCTGCAGTCAAGCGGTGACTGGAAGTCTTTCACATTGAGGTGGAGGAATGTTGCTGCTGTGATTGTTGCCATGCTGCAGAACCCAAAGGTTCTTGAACTTTAACGTCACGGACCAAAGGCCGGGACTTCTCCTTCGGGATTTTCAGCAGATTTCATAGTTTCATTATTTACAGCAAGTGATCCAGGTCCTAAAGCAGCACAGCAACCCCACACCATCACACTACCACCACCATGTTTTACTGTCTGCATGAACTTTTTAAAATTTATTTACCTTAAATGTAACAAGACTTTCCAAAAAGTTCCACTTTTGCTTTGTCAGTCCACAGATAATTTTTCCTATATTCTTGGGAATCAATCATCGAGATGCTTTTTATTGATGTAGTTTTGGCATATGAGAGATAGGTCTGTTGTTTTTGCTCAGCAGTGGTTTTGGCCTTAAATGTCCCCCCTTAGAGGTAATTCCAGCCATCCATTATCTTTAACCCCAATTCTTCCTTTCCAGATCATGGGGGTCACTGGTGCCCATATCCAGCGATCACTGTGTGAGAGGCCGGGTACACCCTGGACAGGTCTCCAGTCCATCACAAGGACACAAAGAAAAACAACTATTCACTCTCTCACCTAGGGACAATTTAGAGTTACCAATCAGTCTAACATGCATGCTTTTGGTTTGTGGGAGGAAACTGGAGTATCTGGAGAAAACCCACACAGCACGGAGAGAACATGCAAACTCCACCCAGAAAGGTCTCCTGGCTGGGATTTGATCCTGCGACCTTCTCGCTGGGAGGCAACAGCTCTACCAAATGCACCACCGCCATGCCACTGCCTTGAAGGCAATTCGCAATTCCCTTTCTATTTTTTGTTGGTTAATGAACTTTGACCTTAACTGAGCACATTTTTAGATGCTCTGGGATTTTTGTGGATCTTCTTGGATCAGTTGATGCACTCTTGAAATTATTTTTGGTTGGTTGGTCACTGGAAATGTTCACCACTATTTTGTTTTCTCGATTTTTGGATAATGGATCTATTGATGTGATTTTAATTAATTTTATTCTACAGGTCTGGTAGTAATTGTACATCTCCTACATGTCTGCGTGAGTGCAGCTACAGCGTGCGCTCTCAGGACATTATTACCTGCAGTGTTCCTTCAGTGCAGACTGAACTAGACAAAAGGGTTTTCTCCTACTCCGCTACCGTTTCCTGGAACATCTTGCAAAAAGATCTGAAGCTCTCAACCTTGACCTCTCTAAGTGGCTTCAAACATCTGTTAAGTTCCTGGCAAAAACCAATGCAGACACGTTCCTGTTTTTAGTTTTCTACATCACTTTACAATGTAGCTATTTGTTTTGGGTTTTTTATACCATTTTCTTTCATTTGTCCTTCTCAACTTATGCTTTCTTTTACGATTGTCCACTGTTGTCATCATGCATTGTTGAAATCAGATCTCTTTTGTGAATGAGTCCCCGAGGCTCAATGGGATTAAACTGTATAAATAAAGGTCGAAAGAATAATCAGGTCTGGGTGTAAAACTGAATTTGGCTTTCTAATAAATGTGGTTAACCAGTTAATTTGCTAGTGGAAAAGGGGCAACTTTTGAGCATGGGGCCACAATGGTTTGGACAGCACATACTCTTGATAAATGAAATAATTTTTAAAATGCATTCCGTATTTACTCAAGTTATCTTTGTTATATTAACTTAAAGATTTATGATCTGAAACATTTAAGTTTGACAAAAAAGCAAAAGTAGTAAAAAAAAAAATCTCCGGTTTAAACAGGATCAGCAACGTTAGTGACAGAAAATATTCAAGTCATGATCATGTTACTGGTCTCTGGCAGGTTTTCATGTTTCGATGCCATGCGGATTAACCTATAAGGAGAGATTAATCCTTTTTGATGAGGTTGATGCATTTCATCATAAAGAAGCTACGTAAACAACAGGAGGAAGGGGATTATGTAGCTTGTAATGCAAAAGAAATCTGCTTCAGTATTTATTTTCCTAGTTTTATGCAAAATACTTAAAGGTAGGTGCAGCTCCCCCTGCTGGTCATCAGAGGGCGTGCAGGTCCAAATGCAATAGTTGTAGAATTAATAAAAATAAAAATAAAAATCTCATTGGTGTTCATGTTCATGGGTTTGATGACTCTGTTATATAAACCAGCACAGAGAAGTAGTCAAATTAGCATTTGGTTGTGATTATATTTTCATAGAAATTGTTTGTTTAAAAAAATACACCATATTTTAATGCATATGTGGACAAGACACTGCCACATGGATTTCACTGCCTATTTTTTGATATCCTGATTTTATTTATCAGTGCATTTAGAGTTATATAAATTCACACAGGCTCAAAGCAACCTTCCCCCCTCCCCAACTAAAACCTGCTCCCACAGCTACAGTATGTTTATGCATCACTTCAACACCATTCAGTGAAATCTTGCTTGAAAGTTTTTAACCACAGCGACCGAGAGTCAAGACAGGACGGCACAGGTACAAATGTGAAAATTTAATCAACGGCAAACATTTAAATAATTAAGACACAATACACGTCCACAGTATTACAAAAACAGTACACAGAACATTGAAAATCACAAACCGGAGATGGTGCATCGCTTGCTGCAAGAACTGCTGAAGGACCAACACTTGCTGCACGGTTTCTCTTTAAGTTACAGTGATAGTATCTGCGGGTATTCAAGAATAATTTAAAAGATTGAAGAACAAGCTGAAGGTGGAAACAAACATGATGGGCCATTTTCCTGCTTTGTGGGAACCTTGAACTGATGTCGTCATCAGTCAGGAACTGACCCTTATGATCTGTTGATATGGCTCATGGAAATGTGCAGTATCAGAGTCTGATCCCAAGTCAGTCGGTTGAAAAAATGAACTTTGTGCTCAACTATTCTAACACATCCTGGATAGGAACAACAATGTATTCCTATATGGGTCAACAGTTGTCATCTGGACACATGACCATGAATCCTCCCTGGCACAGCTGGGCCTGTGAGCGATGAAGTCATAAATCCTGAGGCAGTTCTTACCAGTGAGAGACAGACTGGAGGTAAAAAGGCCTTAAAGGGAAGGATGCAAACGTGGAACAGTCTGTGTGTTTTCAACACATCTTGAATTTATGCTCAGTCATAAAAAGAAGGCATGTCTGAGTTCATCGGTTTATGTTACAACCTTGAAAAGGAGTTGTCTGACAAGTTATCTTTTTGCATTCCGTAATCATTTTTTATAATTTTACTTTAATAGTTTTCCTGCAAGCATTCAACCTAACAAAATAACTCTTCCTGCATCTGTAGAAATTTGATTCTTAATTGTTAATCCGCTGGTTCTGTCTGTTTATGACTGAAAATGCATGAGCTGAATTAATCTAGGGTCTTAGAGTACCCCCACCCCTCCTGTTGTCCATCTCAAACGTCTCAGAAAAGGGTGAAGGAAGGTTCTGCAGCTGGGTCCTTCGAGCAGCCTGTCTGGGTAAACAGGCAGTGATTTGCAGCGTTTCAGCCTCATTGCTTTTCAGCAGGTATTAAATAATATTGTCTGATAAATCTGTGGGGTTTTATGTTATTTTGATGCATGCTTGCTGTCTGGACTCTCATGCTGTAGTACATAATGTGGAGTTCTCCCAGTAATAGCTGGATCAGTGACAAGAGTAGCTGCTGGTTGAATAAAATGCTGATTAAAAAGGTCTAAACACCATATAAATCTTCACAGAGGTTTTCTGTGTTAGCGAAGGGGCTGAGGTGAACTAGCCATGAGTGATTCTGCAAGGAAGCAGATGATTCACTAGATCTAACAAGAATCTGAGACAATTTTTAGTCCATTGTTTGTAACTGGGCAAAATTTAAAGAGATGGTCATCTCAGTAGGAAACGTATAAGAAAAATATTTATCTGCATTTTGCAGTTAGGAGCTGCCCAATGCACAACCACCCAGGTTTTTGACAAAATCTGGGTTGTTCCTGTCTGAGATGGGGACTGTGAGGCACCTGGGTTTCTGTAATTGAACAGAAACTCAAATCCTCTGTGAAGCAGCAGAGTCATTCACAAAAAGGTAGAAATAGAAAAATTATAATCTACTGTAGCTTCTTCAGAAACAAAGGCAGATAGATTAGATGAACTTGATCCAAAATACCAGAAACAAGAAGCAGCTGGCAGGTGGACAGAGCCCCAAGGTAGACCTTCACCTTCCAACATCATCTCCACCATTATTCCCAGATTCAAACTGGGTCGTACAGAACCCTTGCTGACAAGGACAGTGTTACAAAAAACATCCAAGTGAAAGAGAGAGAAGGATGAATCACTTATCAAAAAGTATTAAACATGAATTTTTTTTTTTTTTATCAAATCACAAAGTTACAGCAATGTTTAAGGCACCAATGGCAGCACACCCATCCTGCAGTGAACAAGTGAATCATTACACCCTGAGAGAAATTTGTGCTTGAACTCAGATTTTAAATCTGTTTTAAAGTTTATAATCTGGTCATGGTTGTCCAGACACACACACACACACACACACACACACACACACCTCACGGCTCAGAGAGAAGAGGCTTCATCTGGACAAATGTGAAGTTGTAGTACAGTGGGAGGCCCCGGTGGCTGACGCTGCTGAATTTATCCCAGGAGAACGGTGGGAGTCCGTCCTGCGTCGTTGGCCCGTTCACTGCCTCTGCAACAAAATCCCCCGCCATGTGGAAATCTGTCACCTGCATGAAGAACAACACAAGCTGTTACAGCCCTGGCCGGATAATGACGTTTCTATTAGTTGAAGACGAAGAGATCGGCTGTCTTTGTGGATCTGACGGGAAGAACTTCGGCTGCTGGTTGGTTCTTTGGTGACCCGACTCTGAACTGGTGTAGCTTGAGACTCACTGGAGCATTTGGTTGTGAATGTTTTTGTGAATATCTAAATCACTGAATTGGTCACTTTTGTTTCTGTTAGTTTAGGGAGTCGGTGGATCTCTTTCTATTTTTCTTCAGTTGGTTTATGTAGAATTTTATTGAGAATTACAGTATTTTTCGCCCTATAAGTTGCAGTTTTTTGCACAATTCACATGCCTGTGACTTATAGGCTGAAGAGACATATTTATGGATTTTTTTTCAAATATTTATAAACCAATTTTTGGCTGAAAGATGACCATTTTCATTAATTCCGACTGAAAATATTGAACACTACCATTTTTCAGCTGCTAGATGGCACTCGAGTTGTAAGGCATACCGTTGTATCATGTAATAGTTAAAGTGGCTATTGATAAATTCAAAAAAGTTCAAGACAAAAAAACAACTAGACTTTTTTTATTATAGTTTACTTTATACTTTATTGTTGTTGTCTTGAACTTTTTTGAATTTACCATGTCCTGGATGACTGAGAATCTTCACCAGCTATTAATGACACAATCGACTTGCCATAGCCTGCCACCTTTGTTCTGGTTGCTGCTTGGAGCAAACGTCAAACCAGCTTCATTTTGCTGCACCGCCCCGGCAAAATGCAGCTGATTTGACCATTAAAAGTGCATTTATTAAGCAAAAGTTAGACTGAGACACAACTTTACTATAAAGTCGACCAAACAAATAATTGTTTTTAAGGGTTAATCTTGTTAAATTCTTGTTAAAGTCCTCCCATGGATGATCCTGCAGCCACAATTTGGCAGCAAATCGACTCTTGGCACACCACGAGTCCACATTTCCGGGTTGTCAGCGGTGACGCGTAACAAACGCGATGCGTCAGCAGTGAAGCATAATAGATGCGACGTATACAGCAAAGTGACATGTTTATGGATTTTTCCACTTTATTAGACATATTTGCACTGTTGTGACTTATAGGGGGGAGCGGCGTGTACGGCGGAAAATACGGTATTGAGATTTTGGCTTTTGGTTCGTCCAGAAGTCACTAAGTTTTTCATATGGTTGCAATCTTTGTAAATTAACAGCCTTCTCCTCTCTTTGATTTCTAGACCTGGTAATGATTGTTTTAAAAAATGTTAGGCTTTAGTGTTGCTAGACTGGACATAACATTTAAATTAGGGGCTTGTGAGGGATTTGCACCAGGGACTTCTCAGTGGATTTAGCTTAAAAAGGAAAACATCCAAACATTTGGAGCATTTTAATCCTTGATTAGTTTCATTTACAGATAGAAACGATAAAGGCTGGACAGACACACTTGTTCGATGGTCTTCAGTCGGTTGTTGGGGTGTCCCGATAGGTTTTTTTTCAGACCAAGTACAAGTACTTCAGTTTGGGTACTTTCCAGTACAAAGTACACTTTAGAAACATGTTTCTTTTATTAACACAGCTAACGGTCTGCTGACTTAACATCACCAGTTTATCTAAAAATATTTCTAAGCTATATACGATTTATATTTTTTAACCTTGGTCATTTACAAAGTGGAAGCGGAAATGATGTCATAAAGCATAAGTGGTATCAGTTTGAAATAGCAGGGTGTTTTTCTGAGTACAAGTATGAATATTAGCGGCTGGTAGTTTGTTCCCGCTCATGGGTGTTGACTTTGTCTGCTTTGCTTTTATATCAGATGAAAGTGTGATGTGTAATACTGTGATAAGCTAAGTATTAGCAGGTCTGTGTGTGTTAGTTTTCTGTACAGAAACATGACAGGTTTTGTGATTGTGCTGTCAGTTCATATATATTTTTGTGCGTAAATGCACGCATGTTTGGCACACCTTGGCATAGATCTCCAGTCATCACAATAAACTACCTTGGTGTCATAGCAACCTCTTGGTGAAGACTTCTCTGCTTTCAGGTCACCACGGCAGCAGATGGTACGGCAGGGCTTGCCCTCAGAGTATGGATCCTTCTTATAGTCTAAAAAACCCAAAATGATAAAAGATATCAAACTAAACATTTGTCTGCTGATAAACACCACACAGGGACTTTGCGTTAACAAGACAAAGAGCAACACACCGTTGAATCTCATGATGTACTTCAACGAGTCCAGATCTTTCACATTGGCCTGGTCGCGACGGAAGATCTTGGCTCTGGAGCAAAGGTCATAGGAGAATTGGTTTCCACGCTCCTTCCACATTTCTCCGTAACCGCTAAGTATGTAGATGTTCTGGTGGAAGGGAATGTTGTAGGAAGGCCAGTAACCTGAATTAAACAAACGCAAACGCAACTTTTTTATTTAAGGTTACATTGTGGGCACCAACTGATCCTTGTGGGGACCAAAGCCAGATCCCTATAAGGAGAAGTTACATTGGGTTATTAGGGGTTAGGTTTACTAGTAGTTGCCTAGTACTAGTTTACCATTACTAGTACTAAGCATGTTAGGTTTAGGGAAAGGGTCAGAGTTAGGTTATAGAAAATGAATGGTAGTCAATGCAAAGTCTCCAAAATGTAGGTTTACAAGAACGTGCGTGTTGCAGTAAAGGACAATACAATGGGACAAAAACTGTGTGTGTGTGTATCAGAAGCCTGATCAAAAACTCTGTGTGCGTGTGTGTGTTATGTGTTTAAATGTTGCTGATTTTATATGTACAGCACTTTGTGGCAGCTGTGGTTGTTTTAAAAGGATTTATAAATAAATAAAGTATTAAGTATATCAGAAGCCTGATCAAGAAAGCTCATCAGAGACTACTTCCTCAGGCGGCTGAGACGAGCTGGTCTGGGAAGCTCAGTCCTCACCTCCTTCTACAGGTGTGCAGTGGAGAGCATCCTGTGCTCCAGCATCAACATGTGGCATGGAGGATGCACAAGTCAGTTGGAGTCAGTCTCCCCACCATCACAGACATCTACACCTCCAGATGCAGGAAGAGGGCCACCTGCATCATGAAGGACCCCACTCACCCAGCACACACACTTTTTGCCCCACTTCCCTCAGGAAGGAGGTTGAGGAGCATTAAGTGTAGAACCACTAGACCGAGGAACAGCTTCTACCCTGAGGCTGTTAGACTCATGAATATCTTACCAAAATAATCACTGTGAAAAATCACATCATGTTTCTGCTGATCTGTTTCATGCTGCTGCTGATCTATTTCATGTTGCTGTGTTCATTTGTGCTCATCTGCTCACACAGACTCATGTTCGTGCTGCACATGTACCACATGTGGTGCAAATGACAAAGAATCTCTGAATATTAAAAAAAGAAAAAAAAAATATATAAATGAAGTAGATGTATATCCAATAATTACACTGTGAAAGTTTCAATAAAGTCTGTCTAGTGGTTCATAAGATATTTTGCTAACAGACAAACAGGCTTGACTCCATCAATAAATGCTGAAGTTTTAGACGAAGATTTTGTTCAATGAGTAATGATCAGAGTATGTGTTGTGAATGACTCAGTTACTAATGTGCCACAATTTAGCTCAGTATCTGTGAAACTGACTGAAATAAAACAAAATCCGTCTTTTCTAAGGTCATGTATCTGTGGCGGCCATCTTGAATTAAATTGGCCCTCAAGGTTAATTAGGTACATCCAATGATGTTTTTTATAAATGTTTCAAAAAATAAACGAATACATCTGTGTAGTGACCTGAACTCACACACAACCATAAGCACGCCTGCTGTTTGTTAGTGGACAATAACGGTGTGTTACCTTGACGCAGAGCTTGTGTCTGGTCAGAATACTGCACCAATCCTGGGATCTGCTCCACCACAGTCAGAGCGCCATCCTCAACGCTGTGGGCCAGTTTGATTTTACTCCTGTCCAGGACCATGTACTGATTGTTGTAGGTACCTGAACAGGTAGACAGCCTGTTAAAAACTCGTCCTTCAGTCAGATCGAGGCGTTTTTACTTTGCTTTGTTAGGTGAAAGAAATTTATTACACTCACTATTTTCAATAAATAAATAAATAAAATGAGACCATGCGGCTTCACGAACAGCGAAGCAGCATGTTGCCACACTGACCAGAGTTGTGCATGGAGAAGATCTGGGCCCATTCCTCTCCTGTATGAGCCAAACTGTGGGCCAGTCTGACCCTCTGCCATGCCAGTAGGCTTATTGGGGTGATTTTGTCAAACAAGGACGAGTTGAAGACTTCGTTGCTGGTCTGGGTCATCATCAGACCGCTGCCCAGGAGGTAGAAGTCATCCAGAGACTCCAGGAAACCTGAAACCACAAACCAGGTTCTAGAAATGAGACCAATGCAAAGTTACGGACATGATAGAGGAAAATTATCATTTGCATTTAACGAGACTCCTAAAATCTAGTTTGTGTGAAACAACTGCACACATTTAGAATCTTGCTGCTAAATGTTTTTAATTCTTGTGGAGGAGATTTTCTGGAGTCTGCACACCAGGGTAGCTGCTGAAGGACAGTTTCCCAGTGGCTGTGTGGGGCTCAGACACATGGAAGTCCCAGTGTTTGTAGATGCGCATGGTGGCGGCGTACGTGTACCAGCTGGAATGAGCAAACAGGAGGTTCTCATAACCCGGCAGCATCTGAGGAAGAGGAGGAAAAACAGTAAGGTGGACTTAACCTTCAGGAGCCAAAGAAGATATTTCTATATCAGGAGGAATTATTTGAATTTTTAGAATAGACAAAACAAATATCCACCTGAACACCACCGAAATAAAACTGAATACATGATGCAGTTAAAGAGCAGCTCTCAGGTTGTGTCAAACTTTTTTTTTTAATTTTTTTTTTAAATGTGATGTGAAATTGCATCTCCAACTAGTTTCCAGCTGTTGCAGCCCAGTGAGACATTTAAACTGCTGCAGGGGAGGTTTGATTTGAGGGTTGCTGAATTCACTGTTTGCTCTACTTCTTACATTCTAACAACTCAGGAGTTTTCTCAAGACAAACTGAAGAACCGGAGACGGACGGTGACCGAAACTGGTTCAGCCTGAAGATGAAACGTACAAACACAAGCAGAGTGGTGCCTGAACCTTTGAATGTCAGAGAAACTGAACAACTGTACAAAGACGTGTGACAACACACTCCTCGGGTCACAACTCTGCTGTCCACCCTACAATATATCTCAAGGGGAACAAAACCAACGGGGTTTTTTCCATGTCCACAAAGACGAAATGTTTAAAAAAGGGGAGAAACACTATGTTGCCTAAATTAAACAAGAAAACAGATTTAAAAAATGCCACAAATGGTTTCATTAGAAACACCTGTAGTGTGGACATTGGTTGTCCTCCCTAAACGTTATCAGTTTGAAATATGTGCTCAACACATCTCACATGAATGACGCCACCACCAGGACTTAATTTGAGCCGGATCCAGCCAGAACAGGATCCAGGAACTCTCTTATTTTGACAGGGTGCGTTCTGGTAACCGTTTGCTTGGATCCGGTAACTCTCAGGCTTATCAATAACAAAGTTATGAACAAATATGACTGCCTTGAAGGAATAAAAATTATATTGGATATGTAAACTGAAAATAATTACATAAACACTCATTTTAAACACAACAGCCACTTACAAGATTCTTAATATCACATACGAGCTGTTCCTTCAAGCATGCATTTCTGCTTCTACCCTTAAAAATAGGGGTGCACGATATTATTGGCATGGTATCGGCTGATATTTGCGTTAAAGTTCAATATCGGACATTGGCCATTCCATTAAAGGCGCTGTTTTTGCCTGAAGCAGCAACGGAACATGATGACGTTTTCAGCACAAAGTGATGATGTTGCAGCCCAACGCGATGACGTCACATGCGCCTACCTGATCTCAAGGCGGAAAGGAAAATTCAAAATGTCAGTGGTGTGGAAGTTTTATTTTTCGTTGGTGAGGATGTTGGATTCCTAAGATTTATGGACTACGATGAGTCTCGCTACATCGTCTCCAGTCGGAAATATTTTTCCATCGTAGCCTTAACCAAATTGCAAGCCGTCATTTCCAACGTCATTGAGAAGCCAATAGCCGAAAGCACTTGGGGGAGTTTTACCACAGACATTTGGACGTCGTGTTAGCCCCGTTAGCATGATTAGTCTTACGGCACAATGGATAGACAAAAACTTTGATTTTAAAGTCTGTCCTTCATGCACAGGAGTGCAGAGGATCCCACACTGCAGCTAGAACAAGCCTCCACAAGTGAGACAGCATCACAGCTGACTAATGCTAATAAATAATATTTAACACTTTTCATTTAATATAAGTTAAAGTGCTCTGCATATCATATGGCTGTTACTGAATATATGCCACCAGCTCTTACAGATGTTACACAACTTTTGTAACAAATAAGCCTAAATAAGAGGGCTATGTTCTGACAAAGGAACGTATATAAAATATTGTTTATCGGCCAAATAAGTTTTAACATATCAGCCAAAAATCCAATATTGTGCATCCCTACTTAAAAAATCTGACCCTAAAAATCCCAAGTCATCATGCAATTTTATTAAAAAACTCAAAAATATAATTAAACAGCACAACTAAATTGCAATTCACTTTGACATTTTAAGTAGGTCGTTCATACAATTTTGATTATTGATTAAAAATGCAACAAGAGAAATGTTTGATGTGTATTATTCACATCACGTATCAAAACGATGGCACTAATTTGTCAAAATAACAGCAATCAAAATGTCAAAAAGACAGTCCAATTTACTTTCATTTAAAAAAGGCTTCTCATTTTCCTTAGTTGGACAACCGGGAATTAAATAACCTGAAGGCAGTGGCAATCGATATCTGAGCAGGAGCGAGTGGTGGGGGTGAGTGCCGAGCTAACCAGGCAGTCGTACACGAGCAGGAGCTCACAGGCAGCCGCCATGAACAGAAGGAGGAGGTGCCTGGAGGTTCCACATGTGGTCGGACAACAACGAGCAGGACAGTGAATTCAGCGGAGAAGAGTCGTGCTCAGAACCGTCAAGTAAAGGGGAGGGTGATGCTTGACAGAAGTGTGTACAAATGTAGGTAAACGTAAATGTTTAACGATCCATTAAAATACACCGAAATGCAGGAAATCGCATCTAATTTATTAAAAAAACAGACACCCCCCGCCCTGCATGCTATTTGCATTCCGGCATCGACCGGTTTATAAATTAAGCCCCGACCACCACGTCACGTTTTTTTTCTCCTTCAAACGGTTGGCCCCCTTTACAAAGAAAAAATAAAAGGTGCACCGCTGGTGTCAAAGGAGAGATAATAGTAGTGTCATGCCTTCTAAAGATTCTGACTGCAGTTTGCCCGTTACAATGAGTTAAACATGAACGTATGAATGTTTGTTGGCTTAATGAGCAGCAACAAAAAGGGGAGATTTGTTCTTTCAGTCCAGCTGCAGAGTAGCAGCTGTTTTACATAAAGCCATCACTTCATAAAAAATATAGATACTTTTTACTAAAGTGGGATGTTTTTCCTTGTTAGAGTTTATTTTTAAGGTAAAAGATTTAATAATTTTGCAGCTATTGGTTAACCCACTGTGAGGGAACCCATCAGAA